GCCTACTCATGGACAGACGCTATGTGGGAGGCAGCTTCTGAAATGACTACCAGCGGCCCTAACTGGTTTGGTTCCGTGGTTTGAGCATTGACCTGTGGAACGAAGGGTCCTGGGTTCAATTCCAGTCAAAGGCACATGCCCGGGTTGCAGGCTCGAGCCTCAGTATGGGGCATGCAGAAGGCAGCCGATTGATGATTCTCTCTCATCATTAATATTTCTATCTCTCTCCCTTCCTCTCTAAAGTCAATAAAATATATAAAAAGGCTAATATGCAAATTGACCAAACGATTGGTGGCTATGACGTGAATTGACCACCAGGGGGTAGACACTCAAGGCAGGAACTGCCCCCTGATGGTAGGTGCACTCCCACAAGGGGCGCACTGCTCAGCCAGAAGCCCTGAGCCAGGCTCAAGGTTGGCAAGTGAGGCCGTGGCATGGCGGGAGCCTCTTCTGCCTCTGCATCTGCACTAAGAATGTCCAACTGCCATGGGGAGCAGGACTAAGGCATCATTCGAACATCCCCGGAGGGCACCATTTCATGCACCGGGCCTCTAGTGTAAAATAAAATAAAATCAGTCCAATGATCCCAACTTCCTGGTGTCCATGCCCTTGTGAGTCCTTCCCCTCACGTATGGGCTGGACTTGCCTCTAATGCAGGAAAGCCAAAGTCTTCTGTAAAGGGCCAGGGAGTACATCTTTTTGGCTTTGTGGGTCCTATGGTTGCTCCTCCAATCACTCAACTATGCTGTTGTAGTTACATTAGCTATGTTCCAATAAAACTATTTTTAAAAAATGAGTGGCAGGCAATTATGGCCTGCTGACCACATTTGCTGATCTCTGTTGTGACTAATCCAAAGTGATGTACATCACTTCTGAGACTGTGCTGCACAATGGCTCTGACTTGCTTCTTGTCTACCCTCTCTTGCTCTTTCACTCGCTCACTTGGCTCGATAGCATTTGTGAGCTAACCTGTGGATAAGCCTCCATGGGAGGGGAGCCTCCAGCCAACAGCCAGCAAGGAACTGCGGTCCTGGTTCCAAAGTAGTTCATTCTCCCTCCTGGCTTTTGGGATGACTTCAGCCCCAGCGGGCACGCGGAGCATGAGAGACCCTGAGCCAGGGGATTCAGTTAAGCCCCGCCTGACTCCTGACAAAGCTGAGATAATAGTGTTTGTTTGTTTGTTTGTTTGAAGACACTAAGATTTGGGGCTATTTGTTACACAGCATTAGATTTGTTACACACAAGATAACCAATCCCATTTCCTCCTCTTGAAAATGTTAAAGTTTCTGCCGGGACCGGTTTGGCTCAATGGATAGAGCGTCGGCTTGAGGACTGAAGGGTCCCGGATCGATTCCGGTCAAGGGCATGTACCTTGGTTGCGGGCATATAGGGGGTGTGCAAGAGGCAGCTGATCGATGACTCTCTCTCATCGATGTTTCTGGCTCTCTATCTCTCTCCCTTCGTTTCTGTATAAAATCAATAAAATATATTTAAAAAAAAATAAAGAAAATGTTAAAGTTTCTAAAACATCCTACAAAATGAGACATATTTAATTTTGTTTAATCAAGTCTTCCCCAGGCATATTGAACTATGGGTCCTGTTTTTCCTGGGAAACACCTATTAATATTTTAAGGAGCTACTATTTGGAGAGATACAAAATGCTTGAATATGAACAGAAATCATTCCATTTAAAGAAGTGATTGTCAGCATTCCATTTCTTCCTGGGTTGAGAGTCAGCAAAGTTGATATCTTAGAGCAGTGGTCAGCAAACTCACTAGTCAACAGAGCCAAATATCAACAGTACAATGATTGAAATTTCTTTTAAGAGCCAAATTTTTAAAACTTAAACTTCTTCTAACATCACTTCTTCAAAATAGACTCGTCCAGGCTGTGACATTTTGTGGAAGAGCCACACTTAAGGGGCCAAAGAGTTGAATGTGGCTCAAGAGCCACAGTTTGCCGACCACTGTCTTAGAGAATAAAGATAATCCTGTGGAAATTTATCTCTCTGTCCATATCTACATTAATAATATCTCTATCTATCTATCTATCTATCTATCTACCTACCTATCTATACATGTTGTAGTGTATAGCAGCAATGTTAGGCTCAGTAAGCTGTTAACATGAGGATAATAACTCTGAGAACTTGCTAAATAAAAATCCCTTGTATTGGCTCTTAGAGGGATTTCACATAACAACAGCTGGGCCTCTTATGAAGCTCAGGATTTGTTTTGATTCAGAAGTAGGTATTTTCTATATTGCCATGAGATTTTCCTCTGAACCACATATTATTACACTATAGTTCACCAAAACACGTCACTACCTTGATTTACACATGAGGAAACTGAGGCTCAGAGACTAAATTACTTGTAAAGCTTCAATTGGGGGTGGGGGGGAGGGGGATCAGAGCAGGGATCCAAATTTGGTGCTGTCATACTGCTCTTATAGTATTTCTAAAATTGTTCCTAATATGGTATATGCATTTCCAATATATTCAACTTCAAAATGTGCTTCTGTCTTATTGAAATGTAGTGAAAGTAGAGGCACTGCAAATGTTTGGCTTTTCCTTGAAGTCTTCTGGCTCTCCAATACAGTTTTTCTCAGCTACTCCAGGCCCCATTGTTCTCTCCTTCTTGGAATTTATAGCAACAGATGGTTGCTTAGAAACAGACATTTCTGATGCTTGAATCCCAGCTAGAGTTTCCCTGACAAGTGGCCAGTGGATTTGTGTTTTAATGTCTCCAATAATGGACATAACCTCCTGAGACAGCTAAAGTTGCTGCAGTGGTTGTTTTCCCACTTAGATTGATCCAAAATCTGTTTCTCTGACATCATCCATTGTCTCTAGTTTTGTCTTCTGGGAATTTACAAACCATATGTAATTGATTACATATATAAAAAAGCCTTCAGATAATTGGTGTGTGTGTGTGTGTTGTGTGTGTTGTGTGTGTTGTGTGTGTTGTGTGTGTGTGTGTGTGTGTGTGTGTGTGTGAGAGAGAGAGAGAGAGAGAGAGAAAGAGAGAGAGAGAGAGAGAGAGAGAAAGGGGTCCTATTTAAAAAAACAAAAACAGATACTCTGCTTTCTATAAATGTAAGAATCCATCTTTTCCTCTTTATCATCTTACCAGTGTCCATCTCCATACTAATACATGTCATCCTATTACACTAGCTTGACATTGAGTTTTGATATCTGAAACACATCTCCCTCCCTTGCTCTCCCAGACTGTCTTGACTATTTTGGGCCCTTTAAACCCCATAAATATTTTAGAATCAGCTTTTCACTCACACCCCCCCCCCCACAATATTTCTTGGGATTTTAAAAATCGAGGTTGCATTGAATCTGTAGATAATTTTGAAGAGAATTAAACTCTCCATTCTTCTGAGTCTCTAATTCATGAATAAATATATATCTCAAGTTATTTAGGTCTTTGAAAATGTTTTTCCATGAAGTGTTATAATTTTCTTCATAAAATTTGTACTTTTATTTTTTTTAGGTACTTTATAATGTTTAATGATATCGTTTCTAAAATACCTTGGTTGAAAGAGAAGACATAGAAAAACATGCCATTCATAAGCGTAGGACCCAATGAAGGATAAAATGACTGACCCGGCCTCCCACTAGATCGGTACCAGCACCTCAGAATTACCTTTCAGGACCCTCTTTTTCCTCCCCAAAGGTAACCGCCATCCTGACTTCTAACACTACAGCGTAGAACTTTGTATAAATTAAACCATAGAAGATGGACTATTTTGTTTTCAGCTTGCTTTGTTTAATGTCTTATGTATGTGAGTCCTACATATTTTTGTGTGTAGCAGCATCCTGTTACATGAATATATGACAACATGGTTATCCATGCAACTGTAGATGGGTGCCTGGGCCTTTTCCAGCTTGGAGCTGTCTGACACAACTGTGAATATTGTGGCTGTATCTGGTCCACATGTTCATGTTTTTCTGTTGTTTCAAGTGTATTCACATGTTCAACTTGTGGAAACCATGCCAAACAGTTTTTCAAAGTGCTGATATGTGAGAGTCCTGGGTGCACACCAGCTGTATGTGAGAGTCCTGGGTGCACACCAACACATGGCTTTGTCAGCCTGTGCTGGATAATAAACCATCCTGACAGTTAGTAGCTGGAAACAGGAGCCTATACAGAGGTAATGAAAGTTAATGAGGCTGTAAGGGTGAGACCTTACTTTAATAGGACTTATAATGAGAAGAAGAGACAGTAGGTCTATCTGTCTGTCTGTCTGTCTGTCTGTCTCTCCTATCCCCTTCCCTGTGTGTGCAGAGGAGAAAGGCCTTATGAGGAGGTGGCATTTACAAGCCAGAAGAGAGGTCTCACCAAAAACCAGCCCTGATAGCACCTTGATCTTGGGCGTCTAGCCTTCAGAACTGTAACAAAATAAAACCACCCAGTCTATGGTATATTGTTATGGCAGCCCGAGCAAACTAAGATGGTATCCCACTAAGCTCTGCCTAGATTCCTGACCAATAGAAACTTTGAGTTTTAGGTAATTTGTTATATAACAATGGAAAACTAATACATTAGCCTATTTTTTCTTTCTCTACATTCTGTTTGACGTGTGTCCTCAAAAGATAGACAGGTGGAGTGATGTCTTTTGGCCCTTCAGATTCTTGATTTCCGGGGTGGGGATAAGGTGTGTGTGTGGAGGGGGAGTCAAGTCCACATCTCTGTCTGATACAGAATCACTCCAATTTCTGAGTCATTTCCCAGTAAAGGGAAAAACTGGCTCAGATTCACATTTGGGTGCCATCAGAGGATGACAGAATAAATTATAATTACTTGAAGTACATGAACCTCCTGTATATTATTTGTATGGATTCTCTTCCATGGATATATATGTACATGTATTGCTGTAATTATTTAATTCCTATAAGGACAATATTAATATGGTGGATGTTTCTAGGTGATTTTAGTGAAACACCGTTTGAAAGGAATCTATAGTTTCTAGGACTGCAAAGAAAATAATTTGCAGGGATGTCAGCTGGGGATTCTTCCAGGGAAACCCTGGAAATAGAGAGCTTCCACACGCGATTCAGTGCCTGGACCCCGTGTAGCAACAAGGCATTAAACAGACAGGTGAGTTCCACACTCTAGAATAGAACAAGTGTAATTTGTAAGGCTCATTTTACTATGACATTTTGGTTCTCATGTTGCCATATATTTTCCAAAAACACCCCGAAAGGATTTATTTTTTGAGTCACTTTCAATAAAAATCAACCTACATTTGTCTCACCTTGGTCCCCAACTCCTACCTTACCAAAGATCTCCAGATCTGTTTTTCTTTCCTCTGGACCTCCAGGGACAAAACAGAAACCTCCAGAACACACACTGTGACAGGAAAGGGAAAAAAAGAGGTGCTTTTGGTGTGGAGTGTCAATATTTCAGGGTGGGACAAAGTAGTTTACAGCCCTGGCCAGGTGGCTGAGTTGGTTGAAGCATTTTCCTTTGCACCAGAAAGGCTGTGGGTCCAGTTCCCATCAGGGCACATACTTAGGTTGCAGGTTTAATCCCCAGTTGGTGTATGTATGGGAGGCAACTGAGCGATATTTCACTTTTATTAGTACATGGATGTTTCTCTCTCTCTCTTTCTCTCTCTCTCTCTCTCTCTCTCTCTTGCTCTCTCTCTCTTTGAAATCCATAGAAACATATCCTTGGGTGAGGATTAAGAAAAAAAGTGGGTTTATAATTGTGAGTACGTGAAACAGAGTTTATTCTTGTATTATTTATTTGAATTATTAATATTAGTTATTATTTCATATCCTTATTTATTTATGATTTATCTTTTAGGTAATGGCTTGTAATTTAAGCCACCCTTTGATATTTCTCTGTGTATTTCTGTTTATTAAATATTTTATTGATTTTTTATAGAGAGGAAGAGAGAGGGATAGAGAGTTAGAAACATTGATGAGAGAGAAACATTGATGAAAGAGAAACATCAATCAGCTGCCTCCTGCACACTCCCTACTGGGTATGTGCCCGCAACCAAGGTACATGCCCTTGACTGGAATTGAACCTGGGACTGTTGAGTCCACAGGCTGACGCTCTATCCATTGAGCCAAACAGGTCAGGGCTGTGTATTTCTTTAATCCTCTCTTCCCTCCTGTGCCAGCTGTGTGACCCTATGGCCTGGGGATATCCCCTGTGAAAGGTAGCACAGGAAGCAGTCCTTGAATGGCTCTGTCAGACGTTGATGGGGAAGGCTGGCTGGGCCTTCAGAACTCATGCGTGGTTCAGGCCTGCCCACAAAGGAGGGAGACCACCTGAGCTGAGACCAAGGCCTGACTGAGTAATAAATCAGTGAGTTTGTATATGTCATCTGAGCAAAGCTGAGCTGGCACCCAGTTTTGCGGGGGATGTTGGTTTTTGGTGTTTGTCCTTCTTAGAGACTCGTCTAACAATGGCTATTTAGCAGTATTTATTAACTTTCCTTTTGATGGGTGCCATGAAGCTGTAGGAATGTGGGTTAGTATGAATCATACCTACTTCAAATGGCCTCATTTTCACAGTTCAACAAGGGTAGGTAGCTTGCTTGTGTTTTCAAGATGAAATATTTGGAATCTGTTTCCCCGGGCTATCTCAGTCAAGGTAGAAACAAGAGCCAGGATTCCTTGCCTCTGTGTGCTGAAAGAGGCCTCGTGGGCCCCTCTGTAATTATCTCCCCACCAGCCCGTCCACAGGCCTGGGCTTGTCTGTGCCCCGGGATACAAGCAGGTGAAGCTGGAGGGAGAGACCTCCACCGCGCATGTGCTCTGTGAACGGTGCACTGCTCTGGGGTGGTTAAACTGCTTAGCAACTAGAATATTTTGCACTGTACAGAAAAATGTAATCCCCTCTCCCCCTTACAGCTCTTTCAGGAAAGAGTTGCTCTTATAAGTCATTGGTTTGACCTCTGGACTAACAAGCAACGCCAAGAGTTCCTATTCACGATACTTTTACGCTGCACTAAATCGCAACTAAGGTAAACGTAGCTGATTGATGTAGTTACCATTGGTTCTTAATGAAAACGAAATGTTTACATAACCTTTAAGGGTGTTTTTTTCCCCCCTAGAAAAAAAAAAACAAAGCCCTTGGTGTTTTGACATTTGAAGGTTTATGAACACTCTTCTGCTGCCGATTCCTTGAGAGTGACACGGAACCTCTGGGATTTTAACATTTTTGTACCACGGTGGGGGTGGGGGGGGATGTTTAGTTTTTGCAAAAACTTGTCAATAGCCTCACATAATAAGTCCCCTTAGGAACTATCAGACAATGAGATACATATATGTAGATATCTGGTACATAGATACACACTCCATAAATATTTGTTACCTGAATGGTGGTATCTGAAACATATCTGAGCAGTAACCATGGCAGCAACACTTAGGAACATGGGCAAGACTTGCCCAGCATGGCCACTGATGACCAGTGTGTCCTTGTTCTCGTCCATACCCTCCTCTCCTACCATGTCTACCATCTCCTTTGAAATCCTGCAGCAAAGACGGTGTGCTATTGGAAGGTGTTAGTTGAAATACCAGGGGTTGCTATCATTCTGATCAGGAATTAATACTCTGGAGGTAGTTAGCTAACATTGAATGGGAAAGGTCACAGTCTCAGTCATTACTAAGTGTTTTACTAATTAACATAGCAAATATTAGTTATTAGCAGAGCAACTAGAGACTGGTTAACTAGATTTCTGGGAGTCTGAGGCCAACCACGAGGGTGACGACAGACTTCTGTTTTTGGAACGTGCACTGCTTCTTGTCCTTTCTCATTTAAGTGAACCTTTCACCCAAAGGACAGCGTGGGGTGTCAGCCTGCAGGAGAGGCTGGCTTGGGCGTATTCACCCAGGTTTGCTTCTGAAAACTCTAAGTATGGTATCGCTCGGTGTGAGTGGCTTTCACTGCAACCTGGTGGGAAGGTTGGGGGGACTTTGAACTTCTTAGGCAGCTGCTGAAAAGTACTGGAGACTTGTGTGCAAGACCCAATTGGCTTTTTCAGTTTGTAATGCCCACCTCCCACTTTTTCTTGCACCTTTTCCTGCCCATCTATTTTGCTCAGCCATTTCCTGTCTCCCACCCACTCGCTCACCTTCTCCGTTGCCAGCTTTCTCCTGCATCCTGGGCACATAGTGGATTGTTAATCGACTGTCCCTTAGGAAGCCACTGACTCTCCAGAGGGAGACAGACACCGTCCTGGTTGTGTTTAAAGAAACTGCAAACACAAGCCACAGAGAAACAGTTCTCGAGTCAGTGCTTAAAAATCAGGGAAGGGAACTTTTTATGGCAGTCACGGCTAGGTTTTCTTCTACTCCAACTTGACAGCTTTCAAGATAAGAAAATGACAGGCCAAACCCCATATCCGTAATTACTTTGTGGTTTAGTCTCACGTATCATAGACCAAGCAATTTTAGTTATAACCACTAGAGGTCACTAGAGAACTTCTGGTATATTTTGAGGCTTATTACCATTAGGCCTGATATTTTGTCCCTGGAAATTGCATCCTTTGTCTGGTACCTGAATTCTTCTTTCTGTGGGACAAGGGTATGGAACTAATCTGTTGAGTGAGATTACTTTCCTTTGTTCCCTAGCAGCTGTGCTTCCGCAGGGCGCCGTTTGCATTTCATCATTCCACAAATCTGTTACTACATTCTCTGAGCTGCTGATTTTAGGGGAAGCTGTATGTCAATTTCTGGTCTCTAGATTTGGCATCCTGAACCCATCTTTAATTAGGAGTGGTGGTTTTTCTTGTTTAACATCCATCAGTTCGCTCCCTGAAGTCGGGATTCAGTTTTTCTTGTACCACTTCCTCCTCATCTCTTTCAGCTAGCCATTTCTTCTCTCCCATCAGCACCTGCGGGTCCCATGTGCTCATAGTGTTCGTTATCCAATCTGAATGGTGTTAAATGTTAATTAAATCTTAAAAGCCCAACTCATTTTATTTTTTAGATTACAGTTAGAGCAGTCACGTTTCTCCGAAACACCTTTATTGAGAGAGAATTCACATACAACAAAACGCATCTATTTAAAGGGTATAGGTCAGTGGTTTTAGGAAATTCCGAGTTGTTCAACCATTACCACAACCGAAGCTTAGAATGTTCTCATCACCCCCCAAAAACCCCATACCTATCAGCAGTCACCCCTTATCCCCACCTTCCAGCACTGGGAAACACCTAATCTACTTTCTGCTTCTATAAATTTGCCTTTTCTGGACTTTTCATATAAATGGGGTCATACACTTTGTGACGGCTCCTTTCATGTATTATAATGTTCTTACCATTCACCCATTTTGTAGCATGTATCAGTACTTCTTTCCTTTTTATTGCCAAATAATATTCCATTGTATTGATGTGCTATATTTTATTTGCCCAGTCATTAGCTGATGGACATTTGGGTTGTTTATGCATTTTTGCTATAAACGTGTGTACAAGTTTTTCTATATCGATGTGTTTGTTTCTTTGAGGTATATACCTAGGAATGGAATTGCTGGGTCAAAAGGTGGCAGGGCCATTGACTTTTAACTATTAAGCATTTTTTTTGAATCACATTTATTCCTATAGTCCTTGTTCCCTGATAGCTGTGAATAAGGCTGTGAATAAACAGGAGAATTTAGCATTTTTTTTATACATAAGCCAAGCTAAATTTATGCAAATTACCCTTTTTTCAAGGCAGAGAAGCCAAGCTTTAAGTGTTTTGTTTTGTAATGTTTGAGTAAGATTTAAAATTTTAAATTGTTGACAGTATTACAGATGTTCCCCATTTCCCTGCTTTGCCTCCCTCCACTAGCCCCACTCCTCCCAGACCTTCCCCACACTATTGTCTGTGTCCGCAGGTTATACATATTATTGTTTTAATTCAGGCAGTTACAGTTATAATGAGTAAACAAGATATGCAGCATTGGTCAGAAACATGCTATCACCTTTAAAAGTTTCCTTCAGCCGAAACTGGTTTGGCTCAGTGAATAGAGTATCGGCCTGCAGACTGAAAGGTCCCGGGTTTGATTCCACTCAAGGGCATGTGCCTTGGTTGCGGGCACATCCCCAGTAGGGGGTGTGCAAGAAGCAGCTGATGGATGTCTCTCTCTCATCAATGTTTCTAACTCTCTCTACCCCTCTCTCTTCCTCTCTGTAAAAAATCAATAAAATATATTTAAAAAAATATATTTTTAAAAAACTTTCCTTCAAAAATTTCTCCTTAATCTCTGTGAGATGTAGTCAAACATCTAATGTTTTTTCTTTCCTAATAAATATCCCACATTGTTATGATTTAAGAAGACTTCTTAAATGGAGTTTTATGATAGTTAAGACACTTTTCAAAGGTTCAGCTTCTGAAATTAGCCTCCTGGCAGAGATTGTCCCTCTCATCTTGATTTAAAGGTCACCTCTCCCAGGAGGCCTTTCCTGCTCATTGCTCACCACCAGCAATTGTCACACACCTCTCCCACGGCACCTCCCCAGGACATTGTGCTTCTGTGGCCGTGTGTCTAATGGTGTTCAGTGGTGTCGGCCTCCTGCCACTGGACTGGGCTGACCCGTCCCGTGACCGCTTAAAGGAAACGGGGCTGCCATGTCTGTCACACTGGAGACAACTAGAGGAGTCTGCTTCTGTCTCCTGGCCACACTGGTGAAACCGGTTCCAAACTGCCTCTGCACGGCACCAGGCAGCGCCCTGTGCCAAGGCCTTACTGGAGCTGTTCACACTTGTCGCTGTCCCTGGTGGGTGGGGCCACATTCATGCAAATTCATTCCCCAGAGATGGATGGCATTTCTGTGGGTGGGTGTGTCTCAGGGATGGGGTGATAGCCATCAGTGAAGGGCTCTAATTACTGGTCTCCCTCAGAGCCACTGGAAATGGGATTGGAGGGCAGAACACCCACCGACCAACATACAGATGAGAGAGTACCCCCCCCACACACACACACACCACCACCACCTCCCACTTCAGGACACCTGCCCCCCTCTTCCCAGCCCCCGCACCCCCACCCCAAAGAGGGCTCAGTGCAGGGTATGTATCTCAATTGTGAACTGTGAGGGAATCTGGTATATAAATTTTTTAGAGACAACATGCTTCTAGGTTAATCTTGAATACAGATCAGCTCTGTCACTGTGAGTCGCTGCACACCCATTGGAGAGGATATTTCTGTGAGGAGGCAGTAGGGAGAAGAGAGTGTTAAGAGATACGCTACGTTTCTGAATGTCTAACACAGTCTTGAAATGAGAGTCATCCTGACTCTTCCCTCCCCTCAGCTCTTGATCTGGACATGTTCCTGTCCTTTCATACAGACCAGATGGTCATAGGCAACTGTATGAAAGACTGTATGTCAAACTCATGGCCTGTGGGCCGCATGCCTCATTAAACTGGCCTGTGTCAGCCTTTGAGTTTGACATGCTTGCTCTATGTATTAATATTCATTGTTAGGGTGTTTTTTAGGGGTGGATGAAGCTAAGAAAGAAAACCTTTGAGTTAAAAAAAAAAAAGGAGAAACCCAATTAAAAACCCTAAGCTGTTTAATTGGGTGGGAATAGACATAAAAGGAGAGCAGATGACAAACCTGTGCATTGATGTTCTCACTTCCCATTATGTAAATGGTGCCTCTACTTTACTTAATAATGTTTCACTTATCTTTGTAGCATTAAGCACCACCTGACATCATGTTATATCCAGTGCTTGTTGGCTTATTTTCTATCTACATGTCCATCGGAATGTAAGAACTTCTTCTGGTGACTCTTTCTGTCTCTAGCACTTAGAGCAATCAATACAAGCTACATAGCAGCCACTCAATAAATGCTTATTGAATGAACGAGATGTTTAAAACACTCCCATTACAACAATAACCAAAAGGTGATCAGAAAAAAAATTTTTTTCATTTGATAGTCCGTAGGAGGAAAACATTTTAAAGATATTACAAGTGTTTTCGCCCGGCTGGCATGGCTCAGTGGTTGAGCATCGACCTTTGAACCAGGAGGTCGCGGTTCGATTCCT